CTCACTCTTCTTTACAACATTGCTTCAGTTCACTGAGGACTGTGGGCATCCAGTTATGTATTCAGGTTCAGGTCTGGACTGGGATGGGATGGGCTGCTGCAACATCTTCTGCTGAAGATTTTTTTTTCTGTGCTTGAGATCATTGTCCTGTTGCACGAGCCAATTTCAACCGAGCTTAAGCTGTTGGAAAGATGTCCTCACTTTTAGATAGAGTATTCTGGCATATAAAGAAGTTAAAATCAAGCTTCAGCCCTCTACCACTAGTGGACGGTTCCTATGAGATGTTTGTTAATCACCAAATGTGGCTAAACATCTCCACTTTGGCCTCGACTGTCCAAATGACCTTGTCCAGAAACCTTGTAGTTTGTTCAGATGCATTTTTGCAAACCCAACTGTGCTGCTGTGTTCTCTTTAGAGAGAAGAGGATTTGTTCTGGTAACCCTTCCAAACAAGTCATACATGTTCAGTCTTTTTTGTATTGTCATGAACTTTAAACTGTAGCATGCTGAGGCCTGTGGAGTCTGTGACGTAGATCTTGAGTTTTTTTGCAAATTTCTCTGAGCATTGCATCATTGAGGTGAATATACCAGAACAATCTGTGATCACTTTCAAATATGCGTTCAGGAGTTTTACAACTACATGGTCTGTTATAGAAATCTAAAGATTGAAAATATGGGAATATATCAGCATTTCATTGCATTGACCGTGATCCTAATTTCAGGATATTGGTGTTAGGAAGACCCAAGTCATGACTTACGTGGAAGATAAGTAATGCTCATGACTAATGAGATCATGATTGTATGCAAGATGTATTAACACTGAAAATATTAGACTGGATTAAATATTAAATCGGTGTGTCAAGAGTGAAAATGACAAATTTGACCTTCATCATGAGGACGATTTGGGTAAAGACCAAAATTCTCTCCAACACTGTAGGACAGAGATCTCACCAGGGCACGAGCTAGCATTTGAGTTTTTAAATTTTGTACCTTGGGCTTTACAGATGAATGTTTTAATGGTCTCAAAGTAAACGCAACAAAAACTCAAAAATATGACATCCCAGCGTTTTCCTGTGTTTTAGTGAGCTCAGTCAAACTTCACTGGGTAAGTAAAAGTTAAGAGCAGCAAATAACTTCACGCAGCAAACTGAAAGAAAGCAGCAAACTTGGGAACATGCTGGGAAGGTTATTGGAAGAACTCCAGCTGCTTTTACATTTCTCTAAGATTCAGATGACAGGAACAAACAATTTGTGACAAATTACAGACGGCAATCAAAACCTCTGACAAATCCTCTCTGCACCTCTCCAGTCGTGCTCCTCTGTTCTGTCCTCCTAATCAGTTGTTTACATTATTTCACTTCATGCTAATTTCGGAATAAGAATTCAAATCAAAGCGGCGTTTAAACACTGTTAAACATGACCCGAGGCATTCTCGTCACCCTCGAGCTTTGCTTTAATTTTGCGTTTACTCTTTGTCAACTGTTCTCCATTTGAATACAGAATGGAGATTAATCTGTTGTCCTAATGTGGGTTAAATCATTCCCACAGTAAGCAGGAAATGACTCATCATCTTCTGTACATTGTTCCTCCAAAATATACACCGCATTGTTTGGACATTTACACTCTAAGCAGTTGATAGCCAGCATGCGCACATCCTGTTCTGCAAAAACGCTTAACGGGGGTGAAAAACAGGTCATTAAGAGCAAAAGAAAAACAAAACCAAATGAAGAAGCACAAAGAGATCTGAAAGTAACCCACTCGAGTTTCTTTTACAGGTGGTTTAAATTACCGACTGACATTTTAGAAAGTGAAGCTCTGAATTCTAGTAAATCACCACAAGAGTACTCACACTGCAGAGTCCTCTGTTTCTCCAAAACCAACTGGTGCATCATTACTTGTTGTTTTCATTACTCATTATATTATATTACAGTGTGAAATGATTACTGTAGCATCATGCGGTGAACTGAAAAAAAAATTTGAGCACCTGTTGCATGAAACATTTTATGAGAATCGCTGTTGGCGTTCAATCTTTGTGTCTAGGTTTCCAGGAGGATGTGCCAGAACTCTTTATTCAGAGGCACCATGTGGCAAAAAAATATCTTATTAATGTGACTGAGTCAACGAGCAGCGGGATCAAAGTAAATATAACATGTTTATCTGTTTCACCTTCCCTATCAAGGCAGCATTCATTCTCCATAATAAACCCATTACTGAGTCTTATGCCTTTGCCTCCCGTTCTACTCCTTTTTGCGCTTCCTCCCATCGCAAATTAACTTCTCAAAAGGTTCTTACAGAAGAGACAAATAAATGAATTTTCTAAGTGCACCAAGTGTCAATTAGCCATCTGTCTTCAAAAATATACAGTCTATCACATCATCTATGAGAGGGAGCAGCTGCATGGTTGGTTATACAGTATTTCCCAGAAAGGAAGACAAAAAAAAGGCAAGCTTGTAAGCCAGCAGTATAAACTTGTTGCAGTCATATCTCCCATTTGGAGGTATTTGTTGAAATAAACATCACGTTCAAGAACTAAATTATATCACTTCATGTTACTGCCTTTAAAAAAAAAAAAAAATAGTCGCAAGTAAGGCTATTGTTTCGGGATCAAATGGTCAATATACTCTAATGTGGCCCAGTTTTTACTGGTCGGACAACTCTGTGTGCATGAACTCTGTGTTCCAGTACTGATCCACTACTTTTGTCTACAGAAAAGAACCTGTGGAAAAACCAGATGACAAGCTTAAAGTTTTCTGTGTCTGTCTATGTGCCACAGGAACTACATTCTCTGGTGGGGAAACAATTTTTAAATGTGCAACTTGTTAAGTTTTGCTTTGCTAAAAACAATGAATGAAGCAACACATTGTCACAGGAACGTGCGTGTATCAATTTCTATTCATCTGCTAGAGGAACACAGAGCGTACAAAGAATACCTGTTCAAACAATAAAATGAATTTCAGTTTAATCTGTTTACAAGCTAAAGAGATTTCCACGTTTACTTTATTATCCTATGGGGCAGTAACAGTTTAAATGCATCCAGTTTAAAGTTTCAGAGCTCTAGAAATAAACAGCAGGACTGAGCTTGCACTCAGTGATAAAATAATTAACTTGAATTAAAATGTTTAACACGCTATGCACAGATTAATGATTTTTCTGCTGCATTAATCTCATCTTATTTGCAAAAGTTTTGCATTCTAATGCTATATTTTTGTTCTTCAGAATCTCTTAATCACTTACTTATCGGACTTATCATCATCAGATAACATCATGGGGATAAGTTTGTATGGAAAAAAAGAGTAACATGACCCACAAAATGTCCCTTTTAATGCAAATGTGCAGAGACCTGAAGTGGAAAGCCCGGCTTAAGTTGTTAATTACTGTCATGATACCCATTTCCAACCGGCCTGGCTGTACTGAACTTGTCTCGCTGTAATACCTGTCAGGTGTTTAGAAAACTTGGTCAGCGGATTTATAACGTTGATTTCCAGCACTGTATTTTATTCTACTAAAGCAAAAAGACAACTTTCTTCTGATTGGCTGACCCTCATAAGCAAAAGGTTTAAAGAATGGGTCAGTGGGGTTTCTGTACCCGCAGTCAGAGCCGTGTGCCTGAGATGACCATATTAGGGATATCCATTCTCTCTGAAAACCAAGAGTAGAAAAAAGACACTGTCTGAAACAGAGTTTAGACTTCAGCCTGAGCTTTTTGCTCACAGGGATTACTGAAGCAAACAATGACCTCCATCTACCACTGTCACAATATTTTTATATATGACAAAAACAAAGGAAAACATAGTATATCCACTTTAGTGTTAACATTTATTTAAATTCTGCTTGGCTTAAACTAACACTCTGTGTTAGTTTAAGCCAAGCATTAGTAAGACTGAATTAAACAGATGGCTAAAAGGTCAAAGTTTATTTACAGCTCAACAACCAACATGACATCCTTTGAAAACTGTAGACTAACTGTTTAAATTCATGTGACGCTTTGGTTGTAACTATATCAGAATTGGCATATCTCAATGCGTTATTGATCTAATAATTAGCCATTGTTTATACCCCCCCCCCCATATATCTGGTTATTAAAGTAAAAGATAAGGTGGAGAAATGTAAGAACAAAACTATGCTAACATGTCAACTAAACTGGGATCATATATAATGATATACTTCTATTCTGAAAAATGATATGACTAAAATCAGGTGCACAGTCTGCTCTGAGACTTATTATTATTATCTGTAGCAATCATTCCATCATCAAAATGAGAGCAGCATTGTCAGACTGAAGTTTTTCTCAAAGGTTTCCTGGTTTTATTTGTTGGTTGCCAAATTCATAATTAAAAATCACATTTAATTACTTTTCACAGCCCCAAAAAAACCATAATAAATAAAATAAAAATGCTCCACACACTGAAATAACTTCTACGGAAGAAAAACAGAAACTTTACTGATAGCCTGCGTGGAGTTAAGTGGTCAGCAGATTGAATAAAAAAAACTACTGAAGCGACGCTGCTGCAGTGCTGTCACTGTCATTTGATTTACATGTGGCTCATCGGTCCACATGACCCGTACTGTGGTACAGTGACCACGGGAGGACACAAGACTCCTGCGTGAAAAATGACGCCTCGTCCGTTCTTCCTTTTTTTCTCTGTTTTTTTATTTTATTTTTATTTTATTTACCCAGTTCTCATTCGGGTAGGGTAAAGGTACGCAAGGAGGGTGTGGCGGCGGAAGGTTTCTGTGAGCAATATCCTACAGCACCTGTCCGTCCACAGGTGTAGCTTACAAAGCCCATGGTTTTATTAGAAAAACGAAATAAGACCGGATCACCCTTTGTCTACCCCACGGATCTGACCGGAGCTCGCATACCCACAAATCAAAAGCATTAGATAAACACACAAGCACACACAAACACAAACACACCCAGCCTTCCCTCCCTGCCAGCCGGGATCTCCGAGCAAACAAAGCGCACACTCTAGGTTTTAGGATAATCGTGTCTGTACTCACCCACCAACAGCAGGCGTAGAAGAACAGCATGAATTTGAGGATATAATAGGAACAATCAGCACAACATTTAGACTTTCCCTCTGCCATCGTGTCTGGACGGAGGATAGTTTCTTTCAGCGGCTCTTTGGACTGTTGACAATTCACTTCCGCGTTGTTCTCGTCACAGCACCTGGGAACGCGCGTACAGTCTGATATATGGACGGCCGAAGGGAGCTGGTGGATGTGAGCTTGTGCAAGACTTTTAACTTGTAGAAGTTATGTGACATAAGTACATTAATAAAATCCACTTCAAATTTTATTAAGATTCAAATCTTTGCCCAATTAAGGACGTGGTCATTTTAAGTGACAGATGGGTTCGCTTCCCGTACGTTTCTCGTTGTTTATTGTCAAAAAATAAAACAATAAAAAACTTCTTTGATTTTCCTGGGGCTTGCTGTTCAGTTTGTTTTAAGCCTCTTTTTAATATATATATTTTTTGTTTAAACTGAGTATCTAACTGGTTTTTAATATCACAGTAAATTACAAAGGTATCTTTCAAGCTAAGCTATCCAGCATATAGTTGTTAGTATAAGCTGATAACAAGCTCCTATGATTGGTTAAAAAACCAACACACATGATTGAAAGAGCCAAAATGCCAAACCGGAGACTAGCAGAACAACTTATGAACAGTGCGGCTATTTCACAACATCTTCTGTACTTTGCCCAGGTATTTCTAACCCATTAACGTACACGCCTATGTAAATATCTAGAAATGTTTGGGCAGCCTATGTCAGCAATAGCTTCACCACACTGTGCAGGTCTACAGATTGACATTATTATCTGTATCTCACCATTTTATGCTGTAGGGTGTTCAGAAGTAAACATAGGACAAACACTGAGTTCACATGGGACAAAATGGGACTGAGAATCCTAAATTTTCATAACTTACAAATAAAAATGCAATAAACTGCGCAGGATAAATATACATTTTGCTCTATTACTGAGTAAATACAATAAGGATAAAGGGAAGCTAAAGTTTGTTCTTTTGCTTTCATGTGAAAGTCTTTATATACTCCTGTAATCTCTTTTATTTCTCTGTTATTTCAACTTCTCTTCTGCCTGGATGCATCCAAATTAAAACCCAGCACAGTTTGGATGTAGCCACAGGCTGCCAAAGCTGGCAATTTTAGCAATCTTTATCTACTGTGTCCCTCCACTTGCATGTCGCATGTCTGAGTCTATCCAATCTTTCAAATTGCACCTAAAAACTCACTTGTTTACTTTTGAATCAAACTAGTTTGACCTTCATCTGGTTTGCTCTATGCAAAAGTGTTTTTTCTTCCCTGTTTGCTTGTTATGCTCTGTCCCGAATTTTATGTGTCTTGTGGTCGACTGTGAAGCACTTCGATGATCATTATTGGTCTTTCAAAATGTGCTATAGAAATAAACTTTGATTTGAAGCATTCTCCCGCAGAATGCAAGCAGCCCCATATATACTGCTCCTGATGACAATGACAGGAAGCAGGTACAGTGGGTGAAAGACAGGAAACCAAAGACCCCACCTAAAGGTGAAGACAAGACCTGCCCATTCCAGCCAGAACACTTGAGAGCTTTCCATAAATGTACATTTATTGCTTTAAGAAGGTTTCTTAAAGGTTTCTTAAAGACCAGAAACAACAGGAACAAACAAGTGCAGAACTATTACATAATTAGGCCCAAGCCTCAAGTGGTACAACAGAAAAGTACAGTTTCTTCAGCATGTAAATTGACCTAATGACTACCCGAATTATTGCCCCACACACGGGCATTTGTTTTGTACAGATAACCTGCTTACTAACCCGTCTGTCTGGCCATAAGAAATTATGTGAGATGAGCATGAGCCAACCGTTAGAAATGTGTCATCATTTTTTGTGTCATCGTAGCAGAAACTTGAATGGCAAACACACTCTTATCACTGTTTTCACAAAGATAAACATGTTTGTTTTCTTTACGCTAATGCAGCAGATATATGAAGGTAAATATACTGCCAAATATTAGAGGCTGTAGAATGAAATATGTGAATGTGCAAAAAAAATTTCAACTTGTTTTTTTTTTTAATCAGTACGAAAATGTATGAATTTGTGACTCAAGAGGACGCAACTGAGCAGCTGTTTTAACTGATTCGAGAGGCTGTGATCAGAGTTGTGAAAATAGTAAAAGAAATTAAATAAATATCAATAAAACCGGAATTACAAGTTTGAAGCTCTCAGTATATCTGTGTAAGTGTCAATCTCCACATTTATTCATATTTTTTTGTAACTGTAAATTTAAAACACAAGCATGTGAAAACTTTTTACAAGTGAAAATTTCAAAAAAAAATATAAGTTCAGATTTGTTTTTAATTCTCACATTTTATTCTGCAAGCTCTTCCATTTTGCAACATATTTACCTTCATACAGAAAGTACATCAAACATTACTCAAAACAAAAACATCTACAGTACCTTCTCTCCTCGTGGTGACATTTGGCGGAGGGACCATACATCCCCATGCTGTGAGGGACTGGATCAGTGACTGGATCACTGGAGGGTTCTTCAAAGAATTTTCAGAGGTAGCAGCTTTAGTATGGAGGCTATTGAGCGCCAAAATTAATTAATTAAATATATCATAAATAATCAATTAAATGTGTCATTAATTAATTAAAATTGGAGCTATATAAATAAGGCAGGAGTGACTTCCTGTGTAATTCAGTGGTGCATTTTGATGATCTCAGCCGTTCACTAAGCATGCTCCTGTGACTGGCAAGCGCATCATGGAGTGCATGGGAGGTATTGTCCTTATCTTGGTCAATATCTTGGTCAACTCTCCGACACCACCTGAAGAGAGTCCATTGCCACAACATTACTTTCCTTGCGGATCAGTCAATTGAGTCTGTTGGCATCTGCGACTCAATAAACAGATCCGATACACACAACTTACACATGCATATCCGATCTTCTTTAAATAGCCGCCTATCAAAGAGTTCACAGCACAGACACTATCCAAAGCAAACATTCAAATCCCTGAATATATATCAGAGGATCAGAAGACATCGAATGTGATAAACCAGTCATTAGCTTGTATGTGATAAATCGCCATCCCTTGCCTTTTTAGCTGCTGTAGCGCCCTTATTGCAGTTTTCTAAGCACCAAAAGCAGCAACATCTTTATCAGCAGTGACTCGGCCAACAAAACATTTCACATCAGTAGGAGGGAGCTGTGTGATTGGCTGTTTCCCCACTCGTGGTACTTTTCTTACTTATACATCACCTTTATTACTTTCTTCAGTCAGAAAATGACCTTGGAGTGAAAGCAACAAAGAAACTCAAAGATTTTCAAGTGAAGTCAACCTTCAGCAAAATAAGAATGTTTGTGTCCTCTGGTTGCCTGGGAGTACAGACTGTCTAGTTTTTGTAAAGTATTTCTGTGTTTGCTAGTTTAGGTGGTGAAAATGAGTTTCTTCCCCTCTTGATTAGGTTTTGACCCTTGATAGCCAGCTCTCGCACAGATTCACTCGGGCAACCCCATTTATTAAGAACTGCTACACCTTCTCAGAAACTTTAAATTTTTTCTTCAGCGTGTCAGTCACTGGGCAAACAAGCTTGTTTGATCACATGAAAGTACACACAGGCAGTGCACATTGTACACAGTCAGCAAACTCTACCTTTGGTCATTCTGTTCACTGATTACATGCACGGGCATACGCAGTAGATTTCCCCTGCAAGGAATGTGAGGAACGGGCATGCAACGAGAAGCAGGTAACAAAGTGAGAAACTATCACAGAAGCACAAAAATCTACAACAGTAACAGTGAGACTGAAAAAAAAAATCACTGGAGTCACAATCTGCCTGTTTGCACTGTGAGATATGTTGTTGAATTTCTTCAAGGATAAACTCAAAGTCAATGCAATGACAAGAGTTTTTTTTACAAACAGTATAAAAGAAAGTGTACATGGAGTGTCCTTAGAGGCACCTTCTAGCTGGTGATAAGCAATGTGGATAGAAAGCACACTCTTAGAAATAGGGGCACAATATAAAAGTCAGTTTCTGTAAATACAGAACCTACACTTGCTTTGAATTTTAAGTTGCAGCGTCAGGATACACTCTGAGACATGAAGATAAAGAAATCATGCACAAAAATACATTTTAATCTTAGACTTTAAATGAGACACATTTAAGACAAAGTAGTATAATTTTATATCTGATTTGTATCGGTGACATAACGGGGAGGAGGTTGCTGCCTGGTTGACTATTACTGGCCTCTGTGTCCTCTGTGTGTCTAACAGCCTTACGTGCAAATTTTAGATAAATAAAGCTTTGAATTGCCAGCAAGACTAGGCTGAAACAAAGTCGGTACAAAAGTCAATATTTGGTGTGACCACCTTTATCCTTAAGCACAGTCTAAACTCTCGTAGGCAAGCTTTCTTTTAATTTCTTTAAGTGGTCTTCAGGAGTAGTTCTCCAGGGTTACTGAAGGACATTCAAAGCTCTTCTTTGGCTGTTGGCTGTTCTCTTTCAAGATGATCCCACGCTGCTTCACTAATGTTGGCATCTGGACTCTGGGGAGCCCAGTCCACCACAGGTGTTCCACCATGTGCTTTTCTATCCAGGTGCGCTTTTACTGTATTGACAATGTGTTTGGGATCATTCTCATGTTGAAACATGAAGCTGTTCCCAAGCCGATAATTTGCAGATGGTATTTTACCATGCATCAACATCTGAAAGGACTTTTTTGTGTTCATAATTCCAACAATTTTGACATGATCCACAACACAAAAAGGCTGCAAACCATGACAGAGCTTCTATCGCGTTTTGCAGATGGCTATGGACACACACTGTGGTAACACCCCCCGACCCTATTATCAAATATTAAGGACAAACTGCACACCATGCTTAGACATGCCCGGTTTTCAGCTAATAACTCTTTGGGACTCAGCTTGTTGATGCAAAAATACAAAGATACTACTGGTCTGATGGTCATAGTATATTTAACAGCAAGAACAAAAAATATTCCGCTGAAAGGTACAAAGATTTTAAAAGTTACAACAAAGTCTTGCTCCTTTAAAGCACAATGTAAAAAAATAAAAAAATAAGGGTGAATCATTTCTTGGACATTTTCACACTTAATGAGCAAAACGTTTTCAAAAACATGATGCATCTCAGTTTTCCCTCATTCAGTGATTCAGCTATCATTACATGCTTTCCCATTGGCAGATCAAAGTGCATCCATAAAGGTAAAGCTGTCACATACAGAGTTTTTTTTTTCTAAAGTAAGCAGCATGTTTTAAACACTTCATTTAGATCCAGAACTTTCAGTATGTTTTTGTTCTTGTGAAGAAATGTTTGCATGACATCAACACACCAGGAATAGCTGTAATTTTAATGACAACCCACTGAGTGCACAGCAATTACACTTTAAAGCCAAAGCCAACCAGCAGACCAGATCAGACCCTCTGGTATTCAAACAACATGTCTGACAACTCTACCACTCCAGTGACAAACTGCTGTATATGAGTTTTTGTGGCTTCATATTTCTTCTATATAAGCACAAAAAGACTGTCTATAATTTCATGTGAAGAGAACCCTTTCCAGACCAACACACGGATTGTTCATACGAACAACACACAACTCACATGTAAATACTTTTAGTCAGGTTTATGTTTTACTGCAGTTTGGCAGTGATACGATCTCCTGTGGACCTGTTAGTGTTTTGTCCTGTTTCAGAGGCACAGCTCTACCTGAAAGTAGACAGCTGCAGCCTTTTTAAATGTGTGACTTTTCAAAAACTGCAAGCACAGGGCTGGACTTAAACAAGTATCATGGCATGACTTTTTAACATCACTTTTCTGTTTGCCTCAGATAACTGCATTAGATAAAATATCAAAACTGCTACTCTCTTGGGCACCTCTTTTGTTTTTCATTGGGAGAAATTACTCATTACCAGACTCCACATAACAAAATTGGTATGGCCCTGATCTGGCCCACACAATGTGCTTACACATGGCCCACATACCGCAAAGAAGGATGGCCCTTTGGTGGCCCAGATCAGGTTTACCAGAGGTGGCCCACACATGGGCCAGCACGTGGCCAGTTGCAGACACACTGCTGATCACGTGCTGGCCCAGATGTCAGCCTAATGTGTACCTTAATCAAGCCATGTAATAACAACATGTGCCGGAACATAAGAGTCCAAAAGTAACATGATGAAACTCTGTTCAGACAGTGAATGGACTGATTTTTATATAGCGCTTTTCTACTCTCCCACATTACTCAGAGTGCTCTATACAATATGCCACATTCACCCAACGACACACTTTCTCTAAAACGGGTGCTTCCTAACTGCATTCACACTCTTGCAGACTGGAAGAGCCAGAGATCGAACCACTAACCTTCCGATCAGTAGGTGACCTGCCCTACCGCCTGAGCTACAGCCACCCACTGGCAAAGAT